ACCGCTAACCAGAGGAATTTTTCTTGAAAATGGAAATGCTAATTTGCTAATTGTCAGAAATCTTGCAGTTGTACTGAAATGGGTTTGACTATTCAGGTTGAATGAAAATTATTTGATTAGAATGTTTTATTAATTTTATGTGGTAAATCTAGTTTATAACTGAAATCTAGTCTGTGACTCTTTGTGACGTTTTAATAATTCAGAATTTAAGCTTGACATTGAAAAATGATCATCCCATAGCTATTCTGTCCTTTGATCCCTGCCTGATGGCTACTTTGATTTCAAGGCTGATGTCCCAGGTGTGCGTATTTGGCCCTTTTATTCAAGCTGATGGATCAGCTGAGTTTCCACCTGGGATTCAGATGGATTAAACTGCCTGTGGGGTCAGAGGTCAGCCATACAGAAAACCTTAAGGGTTTTCGCTTAGTAAGCTGCAAATCAGCTCTTCAGATTTGCGTCCTAATTTAAAAAAAAATTGTTATCACAATAATATCTGGATGAATAAGAAAAGAAAGAAATGTACTTACTGGTGAAACAGCACTGCTGACTCTTGTCTGAGCTTTTTAGAAATTGGGCAAAGAAGAGCTTTTCACAGAGTAGAGCCTCCAGCGTCTTGTCTCCATGGATCTGCCTGTGCAAACTTTACTCCTCTCACTGTTGACTACGTCCGGCAGCAATCCTTCCCTTGCTTTGTTGTTGCAAATGTTTTTGTCTTGTAGTTTTTTGTCCTGTCCTCTCACTGCGCCTGTCATGCAGACTTTTTCCAGGAGAGTTAGTCACACGCACACGGATAACTGACTAAGAGCTGTCACTTCTCTTCTCCTTTCACCCCACTCTCCTCTGTGCAGTGTGCAGCTTTTGTTGTAGGGTCAGCTGCTTTGTAGCTTGCACGAAACGTGTGCATTGGAGAGAAAGAGCGAGGACGAGGGTGCGTGTGTGCGCACAAGTCGTGGGTGTGCATTTGAGCTCCTAGTACTGTCAGGGTTTTTGTCTGCTGTTGTGATAAAATCCTCTCCTCGCTAAGAGTGCAGGAGGCACACATGCATAAACACACACACAACCGGGAATGCTCCTCAGGCTGCAGCGCTGTGGGCCTGGTCAAGCTGACAGAAGGAAATTAGAGAGGATGCAAAAACTTAGTTAGAAATTGCATTAAGAAGTGAAATATGCAGAGAAAAAATGTGAAACTTTCTTCTAGAAAATGTATGTTTACAAACAAAAAATATTTCAAAGGGTTTATGAATCTGTGAGTTTAACTGTGACTAACTGATGTTGACTTATGTTTGGTTATACAGCCCCCTTTTTTTCTTTTATTGCCATACTTAAGCTCTTTTCTTTAAAAAAAATTGGGTTTTGTACATGGATTACCACGTATAAAGAAGGGGAGCATTTTCCTGTTCGTTTTGTTTTTTATCTTTGTTGATGTTGAGAAAAATGCTACAACATCTAGCATTATATTCAACCTCACAGTTCCTGTAATGATCTGAAATTAATTCTTACACTCAAAGGAAACTGATTTTCATATAATATTGATAATTTTGATAAATCCTGGCTTCTAACTTGTCTTGTTTTTACCAGTACATATATTTGTCTTTGCGTTGTGAGGAAATTGCGGTATAAAGGTCGAAACTGAAAGCTTAAACGTTAAAGTCTTTTAGTCCAAAACAGCTAATCGTATCTTGTACAGTTTTGGTGTTACTACATTAGATTTGTTTGTAATTCTCAGATTTGGTTTTCTTACAGTCCAGCAAAGATTCTTGAGCATGGCAGCCCAAAACCTGTGAACTCTGATGGAGAGAGGCTGCAAAAACCAGAACCTGCAGTGCGTAAGTACTAATTTTGTCATAGCCTTTCTGAGCCTAGGTTGTGTATTTTGGGATATACAGAAAGCTTAATTCTTAATCAGTTTAAAACTTTATTTTTCCTTTTACTCCTGCAACTTTTCTTTTCACTAGGTTATGCTAATCCTCCTCCACTCACAAGCTATGAGTATCCAGACTTGCCCATAGCCAAAAACAGACAGGAGGTAAGAGATTGACTTAGCTTGATGGTCCTGTAGTGCACTTTCATTATCCCGAGGTTCTGTTCATCATTTTTACTGAAATTTTTTTTATGTCCCCAGGACACTTGAGCACTTAAGCTTTTGCTGTTTGCTCAAGATGAACATTACAACAAAGTTATTTGATGCTGATGGACAACAGCTAACTTCAAATTCCCTAGTCTATTATTATTTGTTGACTAATACAGAGTAGTGTGTGTGTGTGTGTGTGTGTGTGTTTTAGGAGATAATGCTGTCATTTAAGCTGGACTTTCTTAATGCAGATTATAAAGTCTAAAATTTAGGCCATAAATCAGCTTACCACATCCATCTGCCCAACAATTTCATAACTTTTTCTCCAAATTTCATTTGTTTTTTCGATGATATGGGTTAGTAGCTAAATGTCCTTCCTTTTTATTTTATTTTATATCAAATGCCTTTCTTTTTAACTGTGCACGTGTCCTTTTGTGTTTTTTATGTGTGTGTCTGTTTGCGGTTGTTTCCAGCTGATTTCCCTCATAGAAAACAACTCTGTAGTGATCATTCGAGGAGCCACAGGCAGTGGCAAGACCACCCAGCTGCCACAGTACATTCTGGACTATTACAATGAGAAAAATGCCTCATGCAACATTGTAGTCACCCAACCACGTAAAATTGGAGCCACCAGTATTGCTCGATGGGTTGCCAAACAGCGGAAGTGTACCCTGGGTAGTCTGGTGGGATATCAGGTTGGTGCAGTATTAGGATAGAATGTGATTTTCTTAAACTGCATACACTGCTCTTCGATCATGTAGCAGTAGTAGAAAACCAAGATACAGTGACCCATATTGATTCAAACTTTAGACAAAGAGCATTCATTATTATCTTTCTCACAACTTCAGAGTGTTTGCATGCATGTGTTAACAAGCTCTTGTATGCTTTGTTGCTAGGATGTCTGACTGTGTTGTGCAGAGCTTTGAAACTGTGTGTCTAATAATAACTGTTGTCTCCTCCGCTTGATGCAGACCTCTGGAGTTAAGGATGATGTCACTGACAGTGGGAGCAATGATAAATAGTCAGTTTTAGAAGGAGAAAAAATTCTTAGCTTATGCAACAGAAACTAAACATTATGGTATAATTTCCATTATAACATGTAAAATAGGGGAGAGTTATATCTATATATTTGTTTAGCTGCAAGTTGGCAAAGCAAAAAGTGTAACATGGATACGCAATCGATTTTATTGAGGTTCACTGATGTTTTCTCCAGTCAGAACCACAAATAGTCGTTTTGGCATTGCAGACATCAGTTTTTAAAACCCTGGAAAAGTTTAAGCCTAAAGCTACAGCAAAGGGAAGTGTACTTCCTCTGTGGCCTCTGCTGTTCCTTCCTGAGGCAGTAAAAAGTAACCTTGTTGTGTTTTTTGGAGCTCAATAAATCCAAGTAGTGCTATAATGCAGCAAAACAGTACAAAACCTTAAATTCTAAAGAAATCAAATTGCAGATGGTATAAAAAGATTATCTGCAAGTTGGTATTTGCAGATGACAGGATTTTTCAAGTTTCATCAGTTCATATAGAGCTTGGGTAAAAGGCATTCTTCTTTTTCTGCCCCATCGTCATGGAATACATTACAGATGGATTTGAGTCTCTCTCAATTGATTTTACTTGCAGACTTCGAAAGACATACAAACGTTTTTGTGAAATCATCACTGGGAAGTTGTTCTTGTCTTTGATATGACTGTGTACATTACACAAATTAAGCTGTTGTTTCTTTTATTGTTGTAATTTTAATGTTTGTCTGGAACAGGTCTCTCTTGTAAATGAGACATTGAGTCTCAATGGAACTACCTGTATAAATGAAGGTTAAATAAAAGTAAGAAAAAACCTGAAAAAGTAAAAGACGAGAACAAATGGATGCCTTCCAGAGATTTTAGGCCCTGTCATGAAGGTGCCTTTATAGACTTTTCCAGTTAGCAAACAACAAATCAACTACGTTCCCTGTGGATTTTTATGAAAATGCAAATATGTATTTAATTGACAAGTTTGTGAATGCAACTCCTGTATATATTTGTTCAGATTGGCCTGGAGAAGATGGCAACTGAGCATACCCGACTAATCTACATGACTACAGGAGTGCTGCTGCAAAAACTGGTTCAGGCCAAGTCCCTCACTGAATTCTCCCACATTTTTGTGGATGAGGTGCATAAACCAGATGTCAAATTTTTCATGTTTATATGTGTTTCTCTGTTAGCTACTGCCAAAAAAAAGGGGGAATTTGTGTTTATTTACTTTTTTTAGTTATTTTGGGGGAAGTACAAATATTAAATCTGATGACAGACAGGTGAAATAGTCAAAAAAAAGTACCTTACCACTTGGTCCCTGCAGTTAATTGCCTTGGACACTTGTGTCACTAGAATAAAGGGTGACTACAAATCAATATCAAGTTGTTCATAGTGCCAGAACATTTCTATTCTGATGAGAGTGGATTCTTCCAGGACAATGCCCCCCACCCATAGGGTGCAAGGGATGACTGAATGATTTGATAAGTATCAAAGTGATGTGGCCTCACAGCCTCCAAATCTAAATCAAGTTGAAAATTGTGTGAGACTTTGGACCAGCATGTTGGAGTGTTCTTCACTGCCGTTCAGTCCTAAAAATGATCAGACTTGGAGAGTAAATGCCAGTGTTCAGCTCTTGCAACAACTCTTCTTTGTCTGTGTCTACCATTTATAATACTTTAATCCAAAGTCATTTCTAGTTTTCTGCCACAAAAGGTACTGTTATAAGCTTAAGAATAATTTAATCCTATTATTTAATGAGTGATTCTTGAATGTTCAAAATGTAATCTTTTAACAACTCTGCGTTTGTCCAAGGTTCATGAGCGCACATCAGAAATGGACTTTCTCCTGCTAGTTTTGAGAAAACTCCTCCGTTCCAACTCTTACCACATCAAGGTAACTGTTGGGTCCGGCTAAAAAACTTCCTTCGTCTTCCTCATGCTTAGTCACTTGTACTCTCACTCACAAGAGTCTGTCTTTGTTTTAGATAATCCTTATGTCAGCCACCATTAACTGCAAGCAGTTTGCTGACTACTTTGCCACTCCTATTCGTGGCAAACTGAACCCAGCCTATGTGTTTGAAGTGGAAGGGGCATCCTATGCCACTGAAGATTTCTACCTGGATGACCTCCACCACCTGTCTCCGTATAGGGTAGGTAGTTGAGAGAGTAAATGGTTGCTGCTGGTACAGTTCTCTGCCTTGAAGCCAAATCTATTGTATCTGAATTTTGTGTCTGTTTTAGACTGAATCAGCACATCCAGGCGACCCATACATCTCAGCAGATATGTACAGTCTTGCCATCAGTCTCATCCAGAGCTTTGATGAAATGGAGGGCAAAAATTCCAGGTAAGGCCAAAGTATTGTAACTTTTAGAACTGCTTGAACATGTAAATAGGCAAGGATTTAATTGTTTGTTAACTGAATATGCATACATGTATTTTTGTGTGAGCAGCAAGGCCGAGAAAGAGGGAGGCATGACTTTGTCAGAGAGAGGAAGTGTTTTGGTTTTCCTCCCTGGCATACATGAGATAAGCTACATGCAGGAGGCCTTGACCAAGCTGGTTCACAAAAGGTGAGCAAATGCATTTACCTGCTGAGAATTGTACACGTGATCAGAGTTGCTTAATGTAATGTCTACCATCACTGTACAGGTCATACTACAGTTTGATTTCTGTTTCCTCAAACATACATGTGCCGCATAAGACAGATTGCCTCACTACATTTTGTTATTAAAGGATATACAAGTATGCAGTACTGTCAGTAAACTCCTTAACACAGACACACCGCTGTCTACATACGACGCTGTGGGGTGCGACTACTATAATGGCAGGTTGGTGACTGTTGTTTGCTCCCAGAGGCTCGCTGCGGCTCA